CAACAAATGTATAGATGTGCTTTACACAATTGATCTATGTATTGTGATGAATTGTATGAGCCCCAATAAATTGATTTTTTTAAAAATATGCTCAGGTGCTAACTCTGAGGTTGGAAGTTCAAGTCCACCCAGATGAGCCTCATCTCCCCCTCCCCCGGCACCCTCCCCTCCAACACACACACACACACACACACACAATCCATCCATTGAAAACCATATGGCACATAGCTACTCTGGCACACAAGGGGTCGTGGTGCGTCAGAACTGATCAGTTCGTGTTGATTGGCTTCACCTCACCAGATCCCTCCTCAGGGGCTGTGCACGTTTTCACAGCTCTAAACCAATCCCATGACGGATACCCTGGCCAACTCCCTGGCTTCCTTCCAGTCCCACGGCCTCTTCGACACACTCATTTATCTGTGGGTCAACTGGTCTCCCACCGCCTCTGCCCCCCAGTTGGCGCCTGCGCCTTGCCCTCACATCTGGAGAGAAGCACATCTGAAAGAGTGCCCTTTTCCTGTGAAGTTCCTCAGCAGGGACGGAATTAAGCCGAGGAAACCGTTCAGGGAGTCATTCAGAACTCTTGGCTATAAGATTAAATTATAATTATTTACAGGGTTGGTGTCGCTACTGGCAGGCAGGATGCATTTGTTGTTCTAGTTTATACTTGCATAGCAATTATGGATAAACAAGCGCCGGGCTCAGGGCGACTGTGTGCCGAGAGTCAGCACTCTCCCTCACCCCCGCCTTGACGGATCCCTGGATCCCTGTGAAAATGTGATGTGGCTGGTTTATGACTACTCAGCTTTTATTAGCCCACATCGAGGTTTTAGGGCGATCTCCTGAGTTTTGCGCCAAGGCACAGAAGGACGACAGATCCAGTTACAGAAGATGGATTTGAACAAGTAGGCAGCTCCTGCCCTCCTGAGAAGACAGGCTCCTCTGAGAGAGAAAACCATACCTAAATCACACCCAGCCCAGTTCCTCTCTTACCAGACGACCCGCTCCCATGGGTTCCGTAGGTACGAGGGGCATGACTCCGTGTCCACACTGTCCCCTCCCCGCAGGCCGCGT